ATTGATGGGTGAAATTCTTGTATCAATATATAAGAGGCAATTCTTGAGCACAGAATCAAGTGTTGAATCAATCAATGAAATTAGTTGTAAGAGAGAGAGAGAGAGAGAGAGAGAGAGAGAGAGGAAAAAGAGAGACGATTATCGATGGTTTTGTGGCATCGATTGGCTTGTGTTGTATGAGTGGAGAAGTAATACAGTTATACAGCGATAGGGAGTCTGTGTGTGGAGTCAGTCGACGACAACTGATTGGCGTTTGTATTCACTTCTCATTGCATTCAAGTCTTACACCAAAACAGTTGTGTTTTTGTTATTTACTTACTTTGCAATCGCTTTACATTGAAGTGTCGGCTAATATAACAATGAAGTCGTCGACACAATTGCATGTGTTGTGTGCAGTGGTGGTGATCACCGTTGGATCAGTTGTGGGCCAAACCATTGCCACTCCAGAAGTGAATCCGTTGGAGGAGAAGGAAAGTTGTTATCAATTGTGTGGCAAAACATATTCATTACATACTTATCCTAAAGTAAGCCTTATTTTCGCAATTCATTCATTCATTTTCATTACTCTTTCCCTAAATATAAGACAAACTTACCATAAGTTTATTGAATACATATATTCTTGATTTGATATGTTTGAATGCGAAATGAATGCCATTAATAGTGATATGAATGGTATGAATGGTTAATAATAATGCAATTTTGTTGTACAACAGTCTCAACACCTGAATGCCTGTGAGAGAGGCTGTCGTCTCGCAATACTGAGCCATTTAAATGTGGCCAAAGACACGTCCATCACATTTGATCCACAATTGGTCGCAAACAAGTGTTTTAATTGTAAGTCAATTACTAATCATGTGTGCAATTAATGCTTAACTTACTCTCGTTTTGAATTATAAACCTCGAAAGCGAGTCAAACAATCGCTTCATATACTGTGTTAAAGTTGTCTTATGTTTGAAATATTAATATTAAAACCGATTGTGAATCTAAGCACTGGTGTTAACACAAACACTGCCCTATAATAAGACACTTATATATCATATGAAGTATAATAATTGTATTTTTGATGACAAAATCCTTATACCATACTAAATATATTGTCTGCAGATATTACTACTTATGTAATGATTACTATATCTTACAGTTATATAGCTCTCTCTCTCTCTCTCTCTCTCTC